TCTTTAGGAAACGACTAATAATGAAGGGATGAAAAAGCCACACTCGTGATTATTTTTCGTTATCATCACAATCAAGAATAAAAAAATAACTGATGTCGTGTAAACTGCTTGAAAATTATCGATTAACTTCTATCTTGTTTTTATATTTCTCATCCCATGAATATTTTCAAACTCTCAGAAAAATATTAGATTTCAGTAATAATTTATCTTTTTTGATGTTTTTCAAGAGAGAAAATATTAATTCAATAGATATATTATTGAAAAATTGATAGAAAAAGAGTAAATTGTGCAAACTGTCATTTCCGATGAAAAATCGACAACATGGCAAAATACGTAGTGTTCATGTTATAAATGGTTCCAGTTGAATGTAATACATTTTTCTTCTTTAGAATAGTTGGAACATCTATTTCATTAGTAAGTCTTATTTTATAAGATAAAATATAATCTTTTCCATTGAGATTAATATCAACTAGTTATAATTTTCTTGATAAGTATAATTCAACAAAAAAAACATGTTTTTATATTTACGAGGAGCGAGAGAGAAAAATTCATTTCTCTCACTTATGAGAACACAATAATAAACAAAGTTGTATAAAAAAAAGAAAAATTCACAATAGGTATAGTTCCTGTATTAGATTTCTAAGGAAGTAATTTGACTAGAGTTATTCATGCATTAATTTTGAAAAAAATTTCAGACTAGTTGACTTTATAAATCGCAGTACAATCGTTGATTTTTGCATGATTTTAACGATATGAGGGAAAAGAAAAATACCTTATTGAATTATAATTGATTTTTTAAAAATCGAATGCGGCCAGTGAAGCTAAAACGAGCTTTAAATTGATTATTTGGCATTTTTTATTTTGATGTTCATATAATAGTATGTAGCACAAAGAAGATTTGAAACAAAAAAGGGTTATCTCTATGAATTGTCCATTTTTACTACAGATAACGTTCATCGTGTTCTTTAAACAATGGATTCTTATGCTAAGACGGCAAGTGACATTATCTATATATCATTTCGTTTGTTTCTTGAAACGTCAAAACCAATTATTATTACCTATTTCTGACTTCTTCGTGGTGATTTCTACTTATTTGAACTTATCACAGTATGACATAATATCGAAATGATAAAGCTATTTCCTTGAATGTCTTGTCATCTTATATATTTAGATGGTCAATCAAATTTCGTTTCTATCTAAATTCATTGTGTTTATTCTGAAAACGAAAACTAATAATTTGAACTAAAGAAAGTCATCGATCTAAGAACAATCAAAAATATGTCGAAATCAATCTTCCGCACTGTCAAAAATCGAATATCGTATGTTTTAATATCAGATATTACAAAAAAACTCATATACAGAATAATTCCAATTTTACCCACAGGATACATCCATGATCGATTTTTACAAGATAGTATTTATTGATAACATGAGATTCGATAATATCTATGATTAAGGCTTGATATGAATAGCGAAATCAAGAAAATAATCGAAAGAGTGTTGGTAGGTGAGGGATGGTCTATTCCACATCCTATCCTAATTTTCTATGATGTACTCTCTTTTGAGGAGTTCTGAAATTATACCAAGATTCTTTCCAATATGCGCTTATAAGAGTCTGACATTCGACTTCTGCATTTTGCGTAGAAAACAATGAACGCATGATTCGTATTTGAGACTTGTCTATATTCTTAAAGTTTAAATAGAATGTTGCTTTCAATCACAAAATCAAGAGAATAAAACCAATAGTCGCAATCAATTCTATTACCATCACAAGAATCACTGGATCAATAAATGTCATCTCGACTTTTTTTGAAGAGTCATCATACTGAACAAAGAATAGTCATTTCGATCAATATGAAGAAAAGAATATATTTAAACTTTCCTATTGAAGTCAGGTAAGGAAAACATATCTACTATAGTTTCAGAGTACAAATATTCAACGATTGGAAGCAATATCTATAAATGAAAATTTAAAGACAAGAATTAAAAGAACATAGATTTAGATCGCAATTGGATGTAGATGCTAGGCTTGTTTGGGCATGTGCTAAGGTTCAAAATCAGAGTTTTCTTGATTATGAACAATATCAATAAATTATTGCGTGACATAAATATATAGCAAGATATCTACCTTTGAAAATACAACGAAGAACGATCCAATGAACCCTTTTGATTTCATTAGTGATTGAAGAAAACTAAGAAAAAACCGAAATTTATTGGATTTGGGTATTTTTGATTGACTCTAGCACGTAGCCTAACAACGTTTCTGAAATCCTTATTTTGACATTTTCTAATATCATTCCCCTAATTCAATTTTCTACCGACGGGAAAATGTTGTGTCATGTGGCTCAGTAGATAAAAGTATTTTGCTTCATTTACGCAAGAACGATATACACAATTTGAGTGCGTGTCTAATTTTATTTTCCTTTTCATCCACACCCAAACCGATTAATTCACATTAACACTATTCAATGATTATTTACATTCATTTCTGCTTGAGATTACTTAATAAAGGATAACTGATTTCAGCACTGTACACAACAATTGCATCATCTCATCATAAAGAGAAGAAGAAAAAAAAAATTTACTGTCAAAACTATGATCCATCTACCTTATTGAATTATGTACTTTGATCATCCGATTCACAAAACTGACTTTGAACTTTTTTTTTCTTGAATAAATAACAATCGATGAATGGATCAATCTAGTTCTTTTTTTATATGTCGTGACAATGTTAAGAAAAAGTCAGCGTTGCGCCAATTTATTAATGTAGGACTTGATGATGAAATCGTTTAGTCCGATTCCGAATCACTGGATATAGTCCTTTTTGGTGTAGGAAAAACATCTTTAGCAATATCAGGATGCGCCCAAGCATCAGCCAATGATCGAGCAGGCTTAACCTTGATGAAATTTCCCTTTCCCGTGCAAGATTTTCCCAACGCTTGACATCTGGCACATAAATCACTTCGATGCTCTTTGCTTGGATCGACCATATTTCCATCAGCATTTTCTAGTAGTTCCAATCGATGAGCAAAAATATACATAGAATCTTCCTGTTTCATCTTGTCGAGAGGCTGACAAAGTGTTGGTGAAGCGCAATGTTCACATTTGAGACCAGAAGCGACAAATTTCCAATGCCAAATGTGTTTACATTGCTTGCAAATATATGTGTAGAGCTTTTCCAAGTGATGCGCTTTGATCTTTATCGAACATCGTTTGCATTCCTGTCCATAGTCGGCCCAAGCTCGACAACTTTGCCATGTTTTGTTGCACTGCTGGCATTTGTACTCGCCAAAACATGGATTATTTTTTCCCAAATCACCAAAAGACATTGTTGCAATAGAGAGCCAAAAACTAAAGAGAAAAAAATGGCAATTAAATCTGCTTTATTGCTTGATGATGCTCCGAAAATTCCCAGTGTCTATCATGTTCTCTTTTTCTTGACGCATTCGGTCAATAAAAATGTTTCGACTCACTCAAAACTTTTTATCAGCACGTTTAAACACATGCATTAAAACTGATAAGTAGAAAACGGGCGATGAAATCATTCTTATGAAGTAACAACGTAGGTTTCGATGAAAGTTTAATCTAAGTGTCGTCGACTAAAGAATCATTAAAATACTTTAATGCGATTTTTGGTTGAAAATTTAAGTGAATTAGCTTGAAAACATCTTTGGCAAGAAAAATTCTTTAAGCAAGAAATCAATTTTGGTCGTTGTCATTGACAATCAACACCCGAGTAAACATTGTATTTCAAGCTGCATAGGTCACTCGACAAGAACGTATCTCTTATCGGGTTCTTCAGATCTTGCTTATAACCTATGACAATAGCGAAGTTCGTTTCAAACTTCTCATTCACAATGAAACAAAGTCTCACTGCTAGGTTGTGCACATGATAAGGGAGCCCGAGGGGAAAGAATTTGATAACAGAAAATATTCACACCAACATCCTCACAGATACATGGCCTAATGAGAATTTATCTGCTGCAAATAATCTGTTTCATACTAGTATTGTATGTACTGGTACCAGTACTGTTGTTCTATGCATTCATTGTAATAAGGCTGCGGTAGTGGATGATTGTAACACAACTTCTGCAGCAAAAACCATTCCATATAGACAGTGATACTGAAAAGTTCTTACTTTCTCTCTCTGTTAATCATTTGCTGCTAATCTACCAAATGTGCAAGTAAACTAAATGAGAAAGCTATGAAGTGTTTGCATTTTGAACACTTTTTTTATAATCATCATCAAGACCTTGAAATTTAATTTTATTAGTAGACAGATTTTGACGGCAACAATCAAAGAACAAATATAGTGACATAGAATGTTTGCGAAGAGAATCTATTCAAAGTGTACTTAGTATTAATCAAGGTGGATAAATTTTTTTTGCAAGTTTTATTTTTTGTCAGTAGTCAATGGTGAAATGGGTCGATTGTAAGTGTCGATCAATTACAAACAATCATCCAATCATAGCCATGTTCAGTTAATTTAGTTCACTTTCAATAAATCATAGCGAAATTTTCTTCTGTCCTAATTCAGTGCGTAGCCATTCTAATTTAGACTGAAATTTTGATCCAAACAAAGACAATTTTAAATTAAACTGAATTCTATTCTGCCTCGCTATATACATACAACGATAATAATAGTAAAAAATCATGAAGATATAATATAACGAAAAAGGAAAATCCATATTCATTGACTAGAAAAATTATTTAGTCAGGTTTATTTTCAATCTTTTTCACTGTCATCATCACTCAAAAAAATCTGAATAGTGATTTTTAAGATCCATCAACTATATGACAGGCAAAAAAGTTGTTTTTCTTATTATTTCGTAAAGAAACATCATTTTTTTGTGTATTCCGTAAGACTGATGCATTTCAGTAAATAAAACAGCGTAGAGAATTGCAAGACATTCCATTTGGTAGTGAATCGTTTTCTTCATCGTTCTGCGTAATTCAAACAGAATTTTACCTACAAATTTTATCAGCTGAAAAACTTGGTTTTGTTTTCTTCACAGATACTATGCTTGAAAAACTAGCAATCATTTTCATCTTTGAAAATTCTTGTTGAAAATAAAATTTTCTAGTCAAATCACTCATTGGATTTCTATTAACAGTTTTTTGTAGAGAAAAAAAAAAATTTTTAAATAAACCTGGATTAATAATTTTGCAAGTCGCTGTATTTGTCAGACATACGTGCCAAGAGAACAGGAAAACAGATGACGTACTATGAATAGTACGAAGAAAGGCAATATATGATATATTCACCCATATTTCTTAAATCCTGAACAATCGTCAACATAGTTAAATATCCGAGGGTTAAAGATGCATAAATGCGGTAAAATAATGCAACTTACTCAGTTTTGAACAGTATACTTATGCATTTTTTTAATACTTTTTGTCTGATTCTTGGTTACCTTCTTAAGTTGTGCGAGTCAATAAAGCTGCAATAACTTTCTCAACTATTCAAATAATGAATAGCTTTCAATGAATGATATCTTGAATAATATATGCGCTATTTGTTTTATTTTTTATCAATAGAATTTCCTGACATGCTTCTCCTATGTTGACAAAGTGGATTAATTCTAATCATTTTTTCATTTCTCTTCAGTCATTAAATCATTGACAAGATAGTGCTCTTTTCTTTACTCAATGCTAAAAAAAAATGCAGTGCATGAATCATGACAGATATTTGCTGTATAAATCAAAACGGATATGAATTCAATTAAACACTAATTCAGTTTACGAGTAAGCTATGCAGTCATATATTTACGTAATTTCTCAATGATTTCGAATATCTTTTAGAAACATCTGATGAAAAAAAGTAAGTAAAAATAATTTCAATTTTATTTATATTCTCAAATTTGATAGTTTATCAATAACGTGTTTTGAACATTTGTCCAACGATGTTTTCTATGAAATCTTTGATGATCTTGATGGTTATGATATATATATAAAGCATTTTCAAAACTTAATATTCGTTTTCATAATCTTCTAAATTTTTCATCACTTCCATTGAAGATTAGTTTTTCAAAGAAATCACAATCAACACTTGAACATTGCTGTTGAAATGTTATCATTCCAAATAAACATCGTTTACTTTCACTTCATTTTAATGACTGTTTACTCATAGATAACTTTTTTGTTCATTGTAATATTGATTCGTCATTCAATCGTCTTGAATCAGTTATTCTTAATGAACTTTCAAACTACAAACTTCTAATGATTCTCGCTTATCTGAATACTCTACCACGTCTCTTTTCATTGACTATTCAACTTGACGATGACGCTGACTACAATATCAATGGTATATATCTGAGAATTTTTCATTTACGTTCTTTGAGATTTTACAAGATGTTATTGTATCATCCTGGTGAAGTACCTATCTTCATACCAATATCTATCAATCAAAAATTTAGTACTATTGAATACCTCGTCCTTTGTCATTATTGCGATATTGATGAACTTACTTCTATACTTTTTCATACGCCTCAACTTCGACTTTTAACTTGTCAATATACGATCGAAACGGATGAAATTGTTAGCAACGAAATCGTATTAACATTACCTAACTTGACACATGTTTCTTTTCTTGAATGTAGAGTAGAATTCGATGCGTTGGAAAATTTTATCAAAAAGATTTCTTCTCAACTACAAGTATGGCATTTAAATACATTCGGAGAAACGGCTTATCTTGATGCAAATAGATGGAGACGATTAATAACAAATCATATACCTCACTTGTGTAAATTTTA